CCCTTCCAGAGCCGTTCAGAGCACAGCTCCTCACAAATATTTGCTGTCAATAAATCCTCGCCACTTTCATTCCCCTCGCACACAGCCCGGGGCTCTCCCTGCCCCTCCTGGGGCTTCCAGCTCCCGAGGCCACAACTCCCACAAGGGCCGCGTTTATTGCACCCAAAATACATTCTTTATTGCACCTGAGCTCTGCTAGCTTCAGGCAGCACACCAAACACTCTTAGTGACCACTTCGGCCATGTGAAGGAGTTCCCTGCTCTTCCTTTGCATCGAACTGGAGTCAACCTCAACACCCGCTTTTGGCACACCACAGCACCCAGCTTCTTACTGCAGGTTTAAGTTATTCCAGGAATGATACGAAGAAACTTCTTCCACCCCTAGGAAAACATTCAAACCCTGGGAAAGTTTATATTAAATTATATCCTGTTATTATATATTATTATATTTATTAATTATAATATTGAATATATTATTTCCTAGGAAAAACAGGAAGACCACTTTCTGGATGGACTGTAATCTTAGCCCAATCTGGTTTCCTTCTGTGATTAACTCCATGGGCAAGGGGAGAGCAGTGGGTGTTGACTGGCAGCAGAAACACACTTAGGGAGTGGATGGACAACCTAGAGTGGCAGTGAAAAACGGGATGGATTTCTGTGCTCGGGCTTCAGCAGTCACCGGTTTGAAATCCTGGAGATGGAAAGCTGCAAGGTGTTTTTTCCTGCCCACCTGGGTAGTGGCACAGAACACAGTCAGATAACATCAAACAATGCTGGCAGAGGACAGGAGCAGCAGAGCCCGAAACACGGGAGGAGGGAACTCCCATTCAGCTGGATCTTTCCTGGCTCAAGTGGCTGATGGAAAGTTTAAAGTCCTACATCTGAGAAATCATAAACCAGAAGAGCTGGGGCTAACAGAGTGCAAAGGAGCCAGCAGTGCCTGCAGCCGTGCAGGCCAGCCCTGTGGGAGGTGCACAGCACAGCTGTGAGCAGCAGCTTAAAGAAGTTCTTTCCCCCATGCATCCAACACGTTGAAGCTGTACCTGGAGTAACACTCCCAGTTTGGGGCTCCTCAGCACCTGGCAACCTGCAGCAAGGAGCAGCACGACTGCCAGAGGGCTGCAGCCGATGCCACGGCTCAGGGGAGGCTGAGCTGGGTTTGTTCAGCTGCAGCACCTGCAGGCTCCCACTACCCTGTGGATGGCTGGAGAAAAGACGGAGCCAGACTCTGGCAATGGGCACATTACAGCAAGTGAATTTTGTACTGAAGATGCTACAAAACCAAATGGGAAATCAGAGAAGTCACTGAATGCTGATCCCTGGAAATACTGAACATTTTACTGGACACAGCCCTGAAAAATTTCACCTGCTTTTTAAAGTTGGCACTGCTCTGGTCAGGAGATTGACCCAGATGACCTCCAGAAGTACCCCCAACCTCAATTACTGTGAGTTTAAAACCTGAACAGATCAATGTGAGTTTCTCAGCGTGGCTGATGTAACAGACAATGTAAGTGCCTGTCATGGTGTGTGACTGTGTCCCAATCCCTTCAGGCAATTCCCAGAAGAACAATATTACCTCTTAAGTCTTCATTACCAATGGCCCAGGCTGCTCAAGCATTCAGCTACAGATCTGACAAAAGCTTGAATCCTAAAGGTGATGGTACTGAAGGTCAGCAGTGACATTTCTCTCTCTGCCAGCAAAGCTGCCAAATTCCAGGCCCTGTTTTTTACAAGACAAACCTGGAAACACTTGGTTTGTACAAGCTGTACAACTCAAGCCCTGGCCATTTTCGGCTCCTCACAGCAGCTCAGGCAATTTCTTTGACCTTTTGTGTCAGACACGTGAAAAGAAATATCACCAGCAGTGGCAAGTAGCCTTTGTAGACTACAGCATTAAGACATGTACCTTTCTAGATACAAGAGCTAATATTTTTTGTGTACTGAGATTGTGTCCCCAAAGCATGAGAGAGTTTTCCCACAGCTGCAGCAGACCTGTAAGAACATTTCTATCTTGGCTTTGGCTTCTCTGCAAGTGCTTGTATAAAAATTCAAACCCCCAGGATCTGGAGACAATACCACAGCTGTAGCTTCGGGTTTTTCAACCACTAACTACAGGTTTTTCCAAAAGTTAACATTTATTCATAAGTTCATACTATCAGCAATCCTTTGATAGGAATTACGCTCTTAAAAAAACAAGCTTAAAACAATAAGATGTAAAGCTAATAATGGTCTTCAGTTTATGAACACCTTATCCAAAAGCAGACGAGACATCTGTGACCAGAAAAGTGTGGCAACCTCCTCCCAAGAGTGGAACAGAGGCTCTCCATGTGGCTACATGAAAAACAGCTACTGAAAACGTGACTTTTGCATATGACTCGTACACTTCTTTCCGTTGTTTGCTCTCTCCTGTGCTCGTTACAAGCAGAACGAGCACGCTTGCGTTGTGGAGCTGTTTGTTTCCATCTCGCTGTAACAAGAGCTACTGGCAACACTCTCCAGCACACCTTCATGGCAGAGAAACAGGAACATGCAGTGCAGGCTTACTCCAAGGTCTCTTTTCCAGTTGATGGCAATCACACACAACGACTTCATCGCGACACAGAACGCAGGAACGCTTACGAGGAGATGCTCGGGCTAACAGGAGATGCTAACCGTGTTCTCCCTGTTGTGTCACAAACTCTAGGAGTCAGGAAAGAATACAGAACACTGGGATTCTTTAAGAAATCTTGTACTAGTCTACTTCTGGAACGATTAAACATCTGTGACAGATAGTTTATCCACTCCATATAGGGAAACATTTATGTAGTACCATCGGTTAAAGCTCGAAGGAAAAGTAACAACTGTTTAAATCAGTTTATCAAAACTAAGTGTACATTGAGAAGGGAAAAAAAAGTAACTGGAGGCAAAAAGAGGGTATGTCTATCTAAAGCATAGACTCCTTCATAAATAAGTAAACAAATAATATTCTTAAATTTGCTAGGGTGCCCGTTCAGCCACATGCTTAACCACAGCTTGCTTTTGCTTTTAACACCACATTAAGTCTTTTAGGAGCAGGAATTAGAAGTCTGTGTCCAATTTGCACTCAAAGCTCCCAAGACTCTGGATCTTCTGCCCTCCATCTTATTTCTTTTTCTTTTGCACATTTTCCTCTTCCCAGGTAGCAGGCACACATAGAAGAAAACAATAAAGTTCTGTCTACCTGAGCTGAGCTGGTTTGTTGGGTTTTTTTTGGATGGATAATTCTGCCAGATAAATAAACTTCCAAATATCAGAGAACAAGAGAAGGGACACAGAACAGTCAAGACAGCACACTTTTGTTTTTGTCAATATTTCTTTAAATCCCAATCCAGCTCCTAGTAAGACTGGACACTACTTACAACACTCCTAGAACTGCAGAAGAATGGAAACACAATAGGGAGTGAGTGGAGAGGGGGACAAGACAGCCCAGGGGCTGACTTCAGACATTCACATACACCAGGCCAGCATCCACTGGAGTCATTAAGGCCCAGATGCCCCACTAATAGGAACAAACCCAAACACAAAGGTAGCACATGAAATGTATTTACCTATTTAAACACAGGCAGCTGGTCAAGCTAGAATGGGGAAGGTAACTGCTAATTCCTTGTACTACAAGGAAGGAATGGAGTAAAAAAACCCAAGCCCACGGGCAGGTTTTTGCTTTGTGAACCTCTGTCTGTGCTGCTGGTTAACAGTGGTAAGTATAAAAAAATCAAAGAAAAATAATCTATTTATAGAACAAGTCAGTAGTCTGAGACATTTAGAAAAAAGTAAAAACAAGTCCTTCTTTAAAAATGGATTTACTAAAACAACTGTCACCCAGGATGACCCCAAGCCCTCTGGTCCTCTGGCAAAGCCAGGGGCAACTTCAGACAAGAACTGTTGCTGATGTAGGCTGGAACACATCCAGCCAAGCCAGCAGGGAGGGGTTTGCACTGTGAACAGTATCTGCAGACTGCTTGCTGGTATCACAGGAGGCCATGCCCGTAGCCTGGTGATACTGGAAAGAGTTGTGAGTGAAACTTTTCACAGAAGCACATGTCAGTGTGACCTCTGAGGTAAGTGGGCTGTCTTCTTTCCTCCCCATCCCTGGGCACAGATGTCAGAAGCCGTGCCCTGGGCGCTGTACCTCCTTGCCAGCTCCATCCTGCGCCACGCAACTGGAACGTGCAGGAGTGCAGAACTCTAAGCAAAGCTTAGAACAGGAGAGAGCATCCCTGTGGAAAGGGAAGCACTCTGCTCTTCCCAAGTTCTGGTCTAGCTAAACATTATCAATGTTTCTTTCTGGCCCTCCTCAGGACAGGAAGATCGGTTGTTTCCCACTGAGGAAAAGAATTTTGCCTAGTGGAGTAGAGTTGGGTTTCTTTTTTTGGTAAACAGAACCTTTGCTGATTTCTGAGATTATGAGCTCCTCTGCCCTTTAGCTACAAAAGAGAAATTAAAATAAATTCATCCACTTGCTCCCACCCTTACAGTGTAGTGTTAGCTGCCTGGATACGGAGGCAATTTCGTTCTCCCAAGACACTGCTCTACACACTGGGCTGGCACGGCGAGGCCAAAGACAGATTGCCAGGTCCCCTCCTCAGGGCAACTTGGTAGGTGTGAGAGCTGCAGCCTGTGCCCAGCAGTTCCAGGCCAGCTCCACTGGCAGCGTGTACTGCTAACACCCTGAGGTGCCCAATCTAACAGCCTCGGGTCTGCTCAGTCCTGGAGAGCCACAGCCACGGCCGCAGGTGTCCGCACTCACTAGTGTCAGAGCGCTGGAGCTGGCTGGAGCGCGCAGCAGGAGCCAGGGCAGGGGGAGCTGCCAGGGCAGGGGG